TTCTAGTGACACTTAGAATAAATCCCTCAGATTTGTAATCTTATACTTTTTATAATAGTTAATTGCCTTTTGTATGGCAATGCAACCACAATCTTTAACAGAAAGTTCCCTAATCCATGCTTATCCCAAATATGAATTTTCAAGGATTTAACTTTTGTCTTTAAAAAAAGTATCTTGTTCTAGAGTAACAGAATTACTGCTTTCCAACAGATTTCAAGGATTGCTGACCCTGTCCAAGATCCAGAGAATTATACAGTATAGTCTACAAGCCTACTAGGCTCAGCCTTCTGAATGTCTTCTAAGCTGCTTTTGGAATGGAAGAAAGTGTAAATAAATTTGTGGTTCAGCACTATAATTTGCTTTTCCAGGAAAATAACTCAACAATTCCACTAACACAGGGGTCCCCAACCTCCAGGCCATGGACCGGTCCCGGTCCATGGCCTGTTAGGAACCAGGCTGCATAGCTGGAGGCGAGCAGTGGGTTAGTGAGCAAAGCTCATCTGTATTTGCAACCTCTTCCTAGCGCTAGCTCACTGTCTCAACTCCACCTTAGATCATTAGGCATTATATTCCCACAGGAGAGCTAACCCTACTGTAAACTGTGCATGCGAGGATCTAGGCTGCACACTCTTCCTCCTCTCCTCCCCGTCCATGGAAAAATTGTCTTCCAGAAAACCAGTCCTTGGTATCAAAAAGGTTGGGGATTACTGTACTAACACATAGTTTGTAAAGTATTCATCCTTTTCAAATTCTTTGAAAGTTTACATATCTTTCCCATGGAATGCTATTACAAGGTGGCCCTATTGACTCGGGGACTCTGAGTGAACAAATAACACCAAAGTTTAATGATTGCTTCATTTATTTTATAAACAAAATCATTCAACATAATGAATCCCCAGTGGGAACACGTAACAGTCTTTAAATTCAGAAACTAAATATAGGTAGTCCTCAGATAATGACAACTTGTTTAGCAACCACTTGAAGTCACAGCAGTGCTGAATGAATGGTAGTTAAGGCTTGCCCTTGAAGTATAGTTGTTGCAGCCCCACCATGGTCAAGTGATCAAAATTTCGTGGCAACTTGTCCGCATTTATAACTGCAACATGCTCTTCAATTTCCCCCATCTGCTAACTACAGTATCTCTGTTCTTTCAGTTGCCCTGCATTCTACCGCCTATCCCTGTTGCCCCCCATCCTCAGCTGATCACTGCTTCCTCCTGGCAGCTTCCCCAATAAGATATTGCTATGCAATCAGCTTACAGTATTCTTTTGAAATTTCTCCAAACTTGGCAGGGGAGGAGGGGAGGAGGGAGAGAAAGGCAAGCAATATCTGTAGGCAATTACTTATTTGCTTGGCCCTTTGTCACTGTTGGCACAACTGCATTGCTCTCAATGGGAAGAACAAACAATTCATTTCTCTCCAATCTCTCTGCTCTGCGGGGGGGGGGAGAGAGAAAAAACCCACTGATCTGGCACAGATAATATGCACTGAGAATAATGGCAATCACATGATTGAAAGATCCTGTGAAGGTTGCCAATGGTTATTAATGGGCTGTAACCCTAACCCATGCCCACCTTTGCCATCTTTTACCTTTATTTCTCATGTTTTATTGATTTTATTGTAATTTCTTTGATTGTTGGGAGCTGCCCAGAATTGTTGAGAGCTGGGCAACATACAAGTTTAATAAATAATAACAATATGAACAACATTATTATTGTGAAATTCTTGGGCTTATTTTTGCTTTTAAGGAATTCCAAATGTTTAATAGACTTTCTCTTATAATATATCCCTTCAGATTCTTGTCTTCTTTTGTTTCCTTATACCAGACATGTCAAACACAAGGCCTGGGGGCCGGATGCGGCCCGGGAAGTGGTTTCATGTGGCCCACGAAGCCATCCTGGAAACAGTGAGGGAACGGCCCCCACTGCCTTGGCCCTGGCCCAGGCCGACCAGGAGCCAATGTACAATTTTGTGGTGGCCATCTATGCTGAAACGCATTCAGTCTTAGCTCCACAAGGCCGTCTGGAAACAGCGAGGAACCAGCCCCTGCCGTGTCGGCCCTGCTCCCTGGGTGCATGCTGGGGAGGTGTCACCCTTTGTGAGGAATGAAGAAATGGACCATGCCTTGGCGCTTGCCCCGGTCTCACCCCCTTCTGCCAGAGACCCTCAGATCTGTCCCACTCCTGCCCAGGCTCCCACAGGCACCCTTGATGCGAACGATGTAGAGCTGGCCATGCCCACCCAGTAGGCCACACCCACCCTGGCCACACCCACCCAGCCCCCCGAGGGCAACCGCAGTGCTGATGTGGCCCTCAATGAAATTGAGTTTGACACCCCTGCCTTATACCATAAATATCCTGACATTCACTGACTATTTCTGTAATTAATACTTTAAAGAAAATCCGGAAGTGAACACACATTTTGTACATTCCCGTACAATCTGTTGAATAGCTATCAAGTGATTCTTAGTTTAGAAGAAGAAAAAATTATGAAACTGTCAATTGCATCCACAAGTTACTAAAAGCCTAATAAATTATTAACCAAACAAATAAATAAGGTATAATGAAGTTGCACTCAATTGTAACTTTAAAAATATTACTTACATAGACAGGATAAAGATCCACGCCATACATTTCAAGTGTCTTTGCTACTCCTAAGTAATTCAGTTCTGCCTCAGCTGGAACTTGGCCACTGTTGAATAAAATAACATTCTTAGATGTATTTATTCACAACAAAGTCCAGAAATCCATACCTGGCGGCTAATACCTTATACAACACATTAAAATCCTTACAAATTATACATGATGTTCATTGGATTATATAATCCAAAACCTTCAAAAATCAGCTAAATATACAATCCTTCTACCATTTCAGAGATGCATGTACTAACTATATTAATAGTATTTTCAGCTAAAGCTCATGCACTGCTTTTATTGGGAACCCAAATGGGACTGTATGGAAACTTTGATTCCTCAAAGATAGAGTCAATATTTGAAGGAATATATTTAAAGTGAGAGAGTGTATGTCCAGTACAGTTCTCCACCAAGAGACTGAGATGATCAAAGTAAAGACTAGTATATGGTTATGTTTTCTTACTAAGCTACTGCCTTTTTTATCTGTTTATGTTCATTCACTCTGATGATAATTTTGAAAGATATTGAAAATCATTCCAGCAGAAACTGAAGTACTATGGGTTTTCACAAGATGTAGTTTGATGTCTTGTAGTCTTGTAGGTAGGCAGTGTCAGTTCTTAAGCAGTGTTTGGAAGGCCAACAAGATCAGTTGGTTCTGCTTAGAGACATATAATTTACAGGTTAATCTTCTTCTTTAGGTCAGCAAAATATTTACATCAAATAATTGTCTCCAAAATTAGAAGAATTCTAACCTTAACAAATTCTTACATATTTTCAACAGTTTTTCTTCACAGGAAAATGTTGAGTTGCCCTTGTAGCGTAGGGACTACTGAATCTATATCTCATATTCAGTTGTAATTGTACCTTTTATAAAAATACAAGGTTACATTTTGTACCCCTCTTTCAGTAAATTTTCTAGGCCATTCAGATCTCTTTTATATAATATGTTGCTGTCTCATCACTGCGATTCTCCTTCTCTGAATGTGGCAAAAATCAGTTTGCTTATAGAACTCTCTTTGAACTGACTACACTGCAATTAATTTCTCTTTTATAGGTTTGTACTTAGTAATTCTTTTTGGAATACAGATCACAGAACATATTAAACTTGTTGTTCAATACAAAGAAAAACAAATTACTACTATTTCCATGTGATTAACTGCCCTAATAAAAGAAATTTATGTTACTTATGGTTTACGAATACAATATCAAAAAAGTTTTGTTTCTTTCATAGATCCTTCAATATACAGATGTGGCAACAAGCAAACTGGAACCTCCTCTAATTTTGTTTGTCCTCCCTCAAGTAGGTCTATATAACCTCCAGTGATGAAACACCCACAAACCTAGGAAGCAAGCTTTTCCATTAATTGCTCTTATTGACAGAAAATTTCTCCTTACGTCTAGGTTGTATCTCTCTTTGACAAGCTTCCACCCATTACTTCTCGTCCTGCATTCTGGTGCCCTAGAGAATAAGTCAATCCCCTCTTTTTTGTGACAGCCCTTCAAATACTGGAAGAAAGTTATCATGTTCCCCCTGATCACTGTCCTTTGATGCAATGTTTCACATAGGTAAAGATACAAGAGTTTTAGTAGTTTATAGATTGCTGTCATCTTTTTTTTCGCCCCCACCACTTTTGATGAAATGTGTCATGCTTCTGCATCTACAGAAATACAGGATTTCCTGCCAGTATTTTTCATGTTTATCTATACCATTTAGTGGCAAGATTTGCACATGCTAAATCATAATGTGGCATGCATGTTGGGCATAACATGAAATGTAAATGAATCCATCTGTTTATAAACCATAGTTTAGAAACCTAGTAAAATATACTTATCATTATGAAAACATGAAGCCTCCTTCAAGTCAATTCAGTTGCTGCAATTTCACAGAAATATTTCTGTAATTTTCTTAGTAGCAGTAAAGAAATGATTTTCACTGCCTTACCCTGGGGTATATTTTAACTTCCTACTCTATTTTATAACTCCAAATAGTCACTGACTGTCTCCCATCTAAATAGACCTGCCTAGCTTCCAACTCAAGACAAAGTTGTTCAGATGCTTCCATCTAGATAATTGTCTATTGTATGAACCTAGCCATCAGTGTTTTATTAAATAAACCATAATTTTGAAAAATTAGTTAAGATATTCAGACCAACATCTCCAGTCAGAAATCACAAACATATCCTGGCTGTAAAACACATACAAGACATAGAAAACACTAAGCCAAAATGTGTTATACTTATGTTTGTTCTGGATGGACAAGAAAGGGATTCAACACATAAGCGTATTTTAAAAAGCAGTCAAAGTAAAGATCCTTCACAGAGAGGGCTGACAAGTTGTCATTTGACATTAGTTAATAAAAACAAATTCTTACATCAGAGTTTTGTGTATTTGTTCTATGGTATCTTCTAATTCTTCTTTCTGGTCAGGAACAAAACGGTACTCCGAAACATAACCTGCAGTGTGCTTGCATGGATCATAGTCTCCAAGTTCAGCTATACAATGCACACAAAAATATGAATTCTTTAAATTGCATACTTTTGGATAGATATTCACATAAAATATTTTGTTGGAATTACTCAACTAAAAATAATCCAAATTAATCTAGATTATAGCATTTAATTCAAAAAGTGGAAAGTAGAAATATGGAAGAGAAAATAAGAACAGAAACATTTATTCACACAGAAAAAATTAAATATGGATCCCATTTAACATGTTGCATTAAAACAGGCATTTCAGTGAGTATATGTTGTTCTCTGGCTCACCTGCTTTTCTTTTGTACCCCCCTGCAGAGAAGGAAAATTGATGAAAAGGGGATTACAAGAGAGTAAGCAGGCATACATAGGTGAATATACACTGAAAGGAATGTAGTGGTGCTAACAGACCCAAGCACAGTGTATTCCCATAGGATGCCTGCTTACTCCTTGTAATTATTTCTTCACCAATTTCTTTGCTCTGTAAGGGAAAAATGAGAAAAAAATTGGATCAGGCACAGGAGAAATTGCTTACAAAGGTAGCCTGTTTTTTTTTCCTTCCCGTCTTGCAGAAGCAATTGCCCAAACAATGGAGAGTGGGGGAGGGGAAAAAGAAGCAATCTTTGTAGGCAATCTCTCCTGCTTTTGACATTTTTTTCTCCCCCCCTCCCAATGGAGACCGGAGAGGAATGGATTATAAGAGAGTAATCATGCACATGATGGGGAATATACCAAGCTTTTGCATAGCACGTTCACAGCTACCAGTACCACTTCATTCCTTTTGATGTATAGGCCCCATAGTGTGTCTCCTTACTGTTTTGTATCTATTCATTTCCAATGAATGTAAATACGGACATTAATTCCCTTATCCCAGTGCTGTGGTGAGCATTCCAAAGGCTGGAGGAGTGGGGGGAAAAGAAAGCAGAAGTAAAATTATTAGCAACAAAGCAACAAAGATGAATAGGGGACTGGAGGCTAAAGCATATAAGGAACGGCTGCTGGAATTGGGTATGTCTAGTTTAATGAAGAGAAGGACGAGGGAGGACATGATAGCAGTGTTCCAATATCTCAGGGGCTGCCACAGAGAAGAGGGAGTGAAGCTATTTTCCAAAGCGCCTGAAGGCAGGACAAGAAGCAACGGATGGAAACTTATCAAGGAGAGAAGCAACCTAGAACTAAGGAGAAACTTCCTGATAGTTAGAAAAATTAACCAGTGGAACAACCTGCCTCCAGAAGCGGTGAATGCTCCAACACTGGAAGTTTTTAAGAAGAGACTGGACAACCATTTGTCTGAAATGGTATAGGATTTCCTGCCTGAGCAGGGGGTTGGACTAGATGACCTCCAAGATCCCTTCCAACTTTATTATTATTATTATTATTATTAGATGGCAAACAAAAGCTTAAAGTGTGAAACTGATTAGTCTGGTCAGTTATAGATAGCAGCTGCTACGGTAGTTGGCTATCCCATTGCTGGGGTGAGCATTCCTAAGAATGGAGAAGAGGGGAAAAGGAAAGCATAGTCACACTCATATGGCTTCCCTTCTTAGTGACTACTTCGCTTAACAATAATGACACATAGACAACCTCAATCATTTTCAACTGGGAAACGTAACATTTTAGATCAAATCAAATCCAAAAATCCTAGAGGATTTCTGAAAATTCATTCAGACAAATCTGCCATCAATAGACACATAGAGATAAACCTCACTTACACACTATTTAAAATACATAATCAAAAGTCTAGGAAGAAAAGAACTAGCCAGAATATAACCTCTCTAGCAGCCGACCTCTCTAGCAGATTAGCAGGAAATAGCAGCAGATAAGCAATTAAGGGAGAAGTCACACTTCATTCACCAAGATTGTTGGCAACCTAGTAATGGTAGTCCTCCCTTAATAATCCTAACTGAAACTGGCAACTAAGCACTAAGCCAGTGGTTCTCAACCTTTTTAATGCCGCGACCCCAACCGGTCGTAAGTCGAGGACTAAACCGGTCGTAAGTCGAGGACTAAACCGGTCGTAAGTCGAGGACTACCCAACCGGTCGTAAGTCGAAAACTTTCCCTGCCTGGGAGCGCCGCGCATGCGTGGTTCCGCCCCCTGTGCCGGCCGAGGTGTAGCTGGCAAGCGGCAGAGACGGAGCAGGCCGACCACCAGCTGGCCCAGCCAAAGGGAGGTAAGGCACCCGCCGGAAAAGGGGGAAAAATGGCGGACAAAAAAAATGGCAGACAAAAAAAATGGCAGACAGCCTTGCTTGGCGACCCCCATGAAATGGTCGATCGACCCCAAATGGGGTCCCGACCCACAGGTTGAGAACCACTGCACTAAGCAAAGCAGTCACTAAATGAGAAATCACATGTGTTTTCTGGCTGGAAAGAGACATAACCATTCAGTTTCACATTTGGCTTTTATTTGCCTTCTAACCACTTCCTTCACCCTTTGGAATGTTCAAATGCCTGCTTACTGTCTTGTACATGTCAAAAGCAATGCAATTGCACCTGCAAACTGGTGCTGGGAGGTGCAGGTAGGCTATGCAAACAGCTTACAGCACTCTCTTGAAATCTCTTCCTCTCCAGTCTCGGGGATGTGTGTGTGACTGTGTGGAGCAAGCAATTTCTGTAGGCAATGTTTGCCTGAGCCTCCCTCCCCTCCCTCAGTCCTGAAATTCTTCAAAATGATACTCTGAAAAGAGGATATTGGATTCTAGTTGAAGAAGAAAAGAGTGAAGCCATGATAAGTCTTATTAAGTGGAAGCCCCAAAGTTACAATAATAAAAACAAGCAAAAATGCCAACATTGCCTAATACATTTAAAAGAATGTGAAGGAATTGGATGGCTATATATTTTTTTAAGTGAATAAAATAATAAATTTGTTTTATTTATATATTTATTAATTTATATTAATAAATTATATTATATTATATTAATTTATATTTCTCCATCAAGTGACTCTAAATAAAACAAAATAATTACAAAAGCATTCTGGAAACATTCTATCACCATATGATATAACAAGTTCAATATAGTTGAACATTTTATGATGTGGCCCTACATAAACTGAACTCAGTTTTCTATGAATTAAAACTGTATATATATTCACTTTGCATATACTGTAAATACTAAAGAAGACACAGCTCTTTTAAAGGCTAACAGATCTGTGGTGGCACCAGTTCTGTGGACTATTACTCCCTTCCCCATTGAAAATTTAATATGGAATGGATCTCTGATAAAGTAACCATTTTTAGTGTCCAAAAGCACCCAACAGCAAATTTTGGTAATCTTGAACACTGTCACACAGCTAATCTAGTGCATTAGGTTTAGTGAACCTAAACCATTATGTTTGAAACAGGAATCAATGGTTTTTTTTTTAGGAAACCATGACTAAAAATGCTGATCTTACACTATGTGTGAGTCAACCTTGTGTGAACATGGGCATCCAATGCATGCATTTATTATCCCTCTGGAATGGATCTTGAAGAACAAGGAATTCATATCAATCTACTACAGGCATGTCAAACTCGCAATGTCACATCACGTCGCACAACGTATCGGGCCGGTTTTGCCATTGCCGGCAATGGGGTAGGCGCAGCTTCCCCATGATGCGTCTGGCCCGTGGCCCGGCAGTTTGACACCCCTGATCTACTACATTCAACTCAAAGAAACACAAGTTTTAAAGTATAATCAAACCTGTGCTGCAAATAAAAGACAGTATTAAAAAGGAAAATACTGTATCAGCACATACCCTGTATTGCATAAGCTCCCAACTGAGCAGCAATGTTGACAGGACAAGGCAAACGCCCTTGTAAGACATCCTGCTTTATCTGCAAAAAGAACTGATACCTGAAACAAAGAGAAAATGAGCATTAGCACATGCAGTTGTAAACTCCTCAACATGCTCATTTTTCTATGCAAGTTTTATTTATACTATTATTGTTCATTAAGTTTGAGATGGGATTGTGCTTTTAGTTTCACATATATTCAAATGTGTATCAATTCCATCTTATTTCCACATTAGCTTGTAATTTTTTTCAAAGACTTTTTATAAATAATTATCCTTAGCATATTCATTTTAAACATAATTTTTAAACTGAAAACTACATAAAAGTGTAAATCAAAAGATAACCAAGTTCGGATCAACATTATTTCCCCAGAGTGGAGAGACTGCACCAGTGGCCCTTCACATGTGAAGTGACTGAGTATTTGACACTCTTTTCCCTTTTGTTTAACACAGAGGTCTTCAAACTTGGTCCTTTTATGACTTGTGGACTTCAACTCCCAGAATTCCTCAGCCAGGCACACTGGCTGAGGAATTCTGGGAGTTGAAGTCCACAAGTCATAAAAGGACCAAGTTTGAAGACCCCTGGTTTAACACTTATATGAACTAACTGGCTAAAATTATTTGTCAATGTGGAGTTTGGTATCATCAGTATGTATATGATATCCAACTGTATATCTCAACCCTGGGTACACAACTGAACTACTAATGTACTAATCCTGTGTGTGGAGGCTGTTTTGGTCTGGATGAGGAAGAATATACTCCAGTTGAATCCTGACAAGACTGAGCGGATATGGCTATTTGGACCTCCTGGGGTTTGGATGTTTTTATTTTCAGTCTTAGATGGGGTTGTACTTCATGCAAGAACTAGTGCAGAATGTGGAAATCCTCCTGGACAAACGGTTTCTGCTCCATGAACACGTAGTACCAGTAGCTGTGGCCAAGGCAACCTTTGCACTGGTTTATCTCAGCTACCAGTTGTACCTGCTCCTTGACCAGGAGTACTTCAGCTGGTTACTCTCACTGTAGTCATCTCATGACTGGACTAGTATTATTATTATTATTATATTATTATATTTGGATTTATAGTAGAATATGTTTATTTTTTAATTTCTCTATGACACCTTTATTATTTTTACAAATAACTCATGGTAGCAAACACATCCAACCTACCTTTCTCCTCCTATTTTTCTCACAAAAACAACCCTGTGAGGTGAGCTGAGAGAGAATGACTACTCCAAAGTCACCCAACAGGTTTTCATGGCTAAAGCAGGACTAGAATCATAGTCTTCCGCTTTCTAGTCTGGTGCCTTAACGGTTAGACCAAACAGTCTACATAGGACTGCTCTTGAAGACCTTCCTGAACCTATAGCTGATCCAAAATGCATTGGCACAAGCAGTAACAGGGACTTCTTGTCACACACCATCTCAAGCAGCATCATTACTGCCACATGGCTACCTGTTGACTTCCAGGTATTATTCAAGGTACTAGTCTCATCTATAAAGCAC